ACTTCTTTTTCACCTCTCCCCCTTATAAAGTGAAAAGAGGGGGCTTATTTATAACTCCACTAATCACATGATCGAACAATCCATATTGACTTCCATTGATCACAAGTGATTTTTGATTTTCTAAGCATCTGAGTGTGTTAATGACCTCAGAATTGAGTGATCATAGACCCACTGGATTCCTCTCGTCCAGAACCTCATTTGGGGGGCTAATAATGGCCTCTAAATGTGTTTCAATTGCTTGATTTGGTCTTGGTTGGACCCAAATTGAACTAATTTTTTCTATTATTGGTTCATCATGTCGAGACGATCAGCTTAATTATAAACTTATTGGAATCTGTCTTGTATAATCATGACTCTGAGTTGTGAAGATTTATTAAAAAAATATATCGAGATTCATTCTCGATGATAAAAATCTCTTAACCAAACATCAACAATAAATGCATATATGCCAATTACTAGTAAATTCAATATTTTTTTCAGGGGGTGTGATTAGCTTAAATTTTTTTCTATTCTAAAAAAATAAAAAAAAAGTCATTTTATTAAAAACTATTTACATCTTAGGCATGAACTTAAATTCTCAGAAGATTGAAATAATCTTCAAGCAAAAATGAAAAATGATAAAGAAAATGTGATGATGGAATGACACAATTCTTTTGTATTTATATATATAAAGACTAACTTTCATTTTGTATATTTCTAATATTTATTTTAAAAATATAATTTATTGTGATATTATTAATGTGATGCTAAAAATTTAGATGCTGTGCATGTAAAAATAAAAATTTAGGTGTTAGAAATGTAAATTTATAAGAATTGTGGGATATATGTGTAAATTCCCCCCCAAAAAATTTATGCAGGTGAATTTCACCATAGCGCATTAAATAAAAGCTTAGATTCACTCCATGGTGATCGAGAAATAGATGAATAAAGGACTTAAATTAAAATTTTGGACCAATTGCGTAAAGGCCACCAAAAATTTACTATTTACAAATCAACCCCCCTCTTTCAAGCATTTTTCAAATTCCTGCTCAAATATCAAAATTCATGCTAAAACTCCAACCCTTATTTTTCATTTTTATCAGATTTTCAATAGTTCGCTATGGCACGTGAAAATATATTGGTTCGGCAGTTCAAAAAAAAATCATCGAAGTGCCTAATTTGTAAATATTAGTGTTTCATGTGATATGTATGCTATTATCCCTAAAACTTTTTATGATAAAGATTAAATTAAGCAAGGAAGAGGGGTTGAGAAAAGGATTTGACATATTTTTTCTAATAGTAAAAAAAAGAATTAATATTAATGGTTACAAAATAAAATATTATGTTCTGAAAACAATAACAATAACAACAACAACAAGCCTTTATCCCAGTGTGGGGTCAGCTGTATGATTTTTATCAATTGGGTCTTATTGAGTGTCGTATTTTTATTTTTTTTAATATATTAAGATCATTTTTATACAATATGCCTAATTCTTATGTCTACCTTTGCCTTTTTTAACATAAGTTGAATCGAAAATATCTACTCTCATAACTGGATCATCAGATGGACGATATTCAATATGACCAAATCATCTAAGATGATTCTCTCTAATATTGTCTGTAGTTGATGTTGCACCAACTTTTTCATGGATATATTCATTTCACATTTCGTCTCTAAGTGTCGGGCCCCTCATTCACCCAAGCATTCACATCTCAGCAACACTTGACTTTGTTTTATGATTTTATTTTAAAGGCCAACATTATGCGGCATAAAGCATTGCAGCTCTCACCAGCATCAAAGACAATTTTCCTTTAAGTTGAAACAATATTTTTCTATCACGCAAAAGGAATAATGCATTCCTCCACTTCAACCAACTAACTTTAATTCTAATAAAAACATGCCCATCTTTATCACCATCACTTTCAACAATAGATCCGAGATGTCTATAATGTTCACACCTTTTAATAATTTGATCGCCCATAGTTACAACTCTGTCATTAGAGCTGCTACTATTAAAATTTCATTCCATGTATTTAGTTTTAGAACTATTCAAATGGAGGCCTTTAGACTCCAATGTTGACCTCCATGATTCAATCTTTTCGTGAACTCCTTCTCAAGTTTAATCAACAAGAAGAATATCATAAGTGAAAAAAACATACAATAAGGTACATCCTGTTGTATTTGTCCAATAAAAATGTCCAAAACTAAAGCAAAAAGTTATGGACTAAAAGTCGATCTCTAATGCAATCCAACTGAAATAGGAAACACAAGTAACATTTCTTGTATACATATCTTTAATGACTTGAATATAAATCATATCAACACCATTATTTTCTATAACTCTCCAGTAAACTTCATTTGGAATCTTATCGTAAGTTTTTTTCTAAATCAATACTTCTCGAACAAACCTCACAACAAAGTATAACAAACATGACATACTTGCCCAACATAAATCCAAATTGACCATGAAAAATCTTCGTATAATGTCTTAACCTATATTCAATTATCCTTTCATGTAATTTTAAAGTTTAACATATTAATTTAATTTCTCTATAATTTGCACGCTCTTTTGCAGCCTCTTTTTCTAAAAAAATAATGATCAAAATACTCTTTCTCCGCTCCCCAAACATTTTTTTTGTTCTAAATAAATAAATAAATAAGGAAATAAGTAATTTTATTAAAAGAAAAATATAAAAGGATAAAAAAAAATATTGCAGTGTATATAGGACCAGAAGAAGAGACAGCTAAATGGAGTTTAAAGTTAAAATTTGTCACCAATTTAATTTTTCCTTTTATCACATTATGACATTTGTCGAATCAGAATATAGTTTGTAGAGAATCAACTTAGGCTGACCCCTCAAAAATAAATAAATAATTAAATTTTAGGCTGAGCTGACCCCTGACATTTGCCAAAAAAATAAATTAAAAAAATATTATTTAATTCACCTTTGGATTAATCATTTTTTTAACAATATATCCACCGTTCCCTTTTTACCTGGTCGAGATCTCACTTTCAAGCTTTCAAGCATCCATTAAACGACTAAGCCAAATAAATTAGCCTTTTTACATGCATACCACATTTTTCTTATATATTTATATATCGAACATATAAATTTTTACATTTATTTATACAATATCTGTTGGGTAATGTGGAGACCCGGTTCACCGAAATTTAATTAACTTCCTAATTAAGAATATCACATAGCACTCACCTATTTTCCCACCTACCACATCCCACTTACCACTCACCTATTTTCCCACCTACCACATCCCACCTACCACTTACCTACCACTCTCTTGATTTCTATAAATAACATCTTATGACATGTCATAAGCCATGCCAAAGGCCAAACCAAACAAGGTCAAGTCAAGTCTTCTTGAGAGTTAAGAGAAAAAGAGGAAGAGAGAGAGAGAGGAGGGAAGAAGAAAATAAAGATTTTCTTGTAAACGTCGAGGCGCTCGACGGTGTAATTCCTCGAAGAAATAAAATAATCTGCAGCTCCGTGTACATAGGCAAATTTGCCGAAAGACGTAAATCTGTGTGTCGCTAAGATATTTTTATGCATCCAATTTTACTCGTTCCATTTTTCGTTTTATTGTCGTCGTTTTTCACAACAACATCCACATTTTATACACCATTTCAAAATAAAATTAATATAAACCTTTTAAAATAAAACATACAATTATTACCGTAAAATAATAGTAGTATTTTAAATTGAACGAGGAAATTGAAATCACATGTGGATATATGCTTATCTCAATCAACTAAATCAAGACTTATCGAGACAATAAACAATTCTCTTTCTTAAGAAATATTTGCATAATTTCAAAAAAATATATGTATTAAAGTAGAAAAAAGATATTTTGACTTTTTCATGAAAATTTGTTGCAATTCTATTATAATTATGTCATGATATTTTATCATAGTTTTCCTCATAAAATATGGGATACTCTAAATAAGAAATTTATAAAATATGACATTATCCGCTTAAATCTTATCTTAAGAAGTATAGATAGATTTCATTAGAGTTCTATATCTAAATAAATATTTAAATTTGAAATTGTTTGTAGGATTTATTATTCATTAAAAAAAAAAAGTTGAGTGCGAGAGAGATTGTCATAAAAAAAAAAAAATATCACTCTATTCCACTATATATGTACATAATATCTGATTGAATCTACGTCGTCGTCTGCACATACAAATATCAGGAAGTAATATTTTCTCGATTGAGAGAAAAGATGATAAGATTTTTAGTAATCGGCCTTAAGACTAGGGTGTAAACGAGTCGAACACGAGCGAGCACATCCTCAGCTCGTGTTCGGCTTGTTTATACTTCGAGTTAAAAAAGTGTGTTCGTGTTCGACTCGTCTGCTTAGCAAGCCGAACACGAGTCGTTCACGAACAAAGAGTCATTTTGACAACCCTAATCACATAGCC